CTCCCGGCAGGTGACCCCCCGGCTGCGCCTGCTGCGCTCCCAGGTGCGCCTTGGCAACTGCTTGCAGCTGCATGGCTTGGCCCAGCTCTATGGCCTGCAGGACCTGCAGGAGGCCTGCCTGGACTTCATGGCCGCCCACTACCACCCTGTGCTGTGGCCGGTGCCACCCGCCCTGCGCCAGCAGCTGGCCCAGAGGCGCATGAGGGGCGCGGCCACCCTGGTGGCCGTGGGCGACTTGGCGGGGCGGCCCCGGCAAGAGGAAGGGCCAGGCTCCATGCTGCGGTACGACGAGGTGGCTCAGCAGTGGCTGCCCCTGGCCAACAATCTGCCTCCGGACCTGGTGAACGTGCGTGGTTATGGGGCGGCAACGCTGGACAACTACCTGTTCATCGTCGGGGGCTACCGTGTCACCAGCCAGGATATCTCGGCCACCCACTGTTACAATCCATGCTTGAATGAGTGGAGTCAGAGGGCGTCCATGAACCAGAAGAGGTAACCTCCCTCCCCGTCCCGCCTCATCCCCTGCAAACAGATGTACAAGCGGTGTGTTAGCAGCGGTATTGCCAACTCTCATGACTTTGGGCGTTGTTCTTCAAGTCTAGGCTTCGGGAATGTGAAAAACCTAGCACTTTCTTTTACATATATTTTAAAGAACTAGGCTTTTTGCATTCTTTAATTGTGGGTGAACTATCCAACGCTTGGTGAATTCTGCTTCACAATGATAGGAAGCATAGACTTTAAGAACAATGCCAAAAATCACGAGAATTGGCAACACTAGAGGTAAAAATGCCCTGGAGTCATGGACCCAGTAATAGAGGGACCAGTTTGCCATTACTTTGAGCCTAGTCATTCACATCTCACCTCCTTTTGTGCTGGGGTGAGTGGTGCTCTATGGGGTGCTGAACAATGAGGAATTTACCTGATAGTAGCAGTGCTCAACCTTTTGATCCATGGGCCAGATGAGACTATGGAGCCCATCCATGGTTCAAATGGGACCCTGCCCACCAGGAATGGGGCCTGAGCTGCCTCTACCCAGTCCCATACAAGAGGATTGAGTTCCAGGGGCCCCCACATGATGGAGTTGGGCCCAGTGCTGCTCTGCACGCTTAGCCTAGCATTCACAGCCACAGCACGCAGGTCTCCCCACAGATTCTTGGGGAGCCCTATAGGCCAGATGACATGGCATCGGGGGTAGAGCATCCCTGGCCGATAGAATCCAGTAGGCTGTGTGGGACCGAGCTTTTAAACATGATTTTTTTTATTAAATAGAACTTTGAGGTAGAATAGTGAAGGCAACCCCGGTAACCCTCTGTTCCTGTACTCAGGTTTCTATCTGCACATGGAGAAATCAAGCTGGTGTCAATGAGAGACCATTTGGAGCACAGCAGGCTAGAATTTTGGACAGAACGGTTTTCCATTGGAAATTGCAGTTTCCTTAACATTGAAATTGGTTTCCCCAACTAGCTTGGTTTTGATGACGGTTTTCCCTGGACAAGCTGCTGCAGTGTTTCCTCATCTTATTCTGATGACTAAAAATTTTGGGGACAAAATGCTTTGGTTTCAGTTTTCATTTTTATTCATTGGTTTTTTGGCTAACACATTTCATATGTTGTCATGTCTCATTATCACAATGAAATATTGGCGTTATCTCGTTGAAACAAAGCATTTTGATGTTTCATAGCCAACATTTTCAGACTTTCCAGTCTGTAGAAAATTTCAATATTGCACTCTGATTTGGACCAAAAACTAAAGTGAAACGTGAGAATTTCCCATGGAACTGAAATATCATTTTCTAACCAGTTCTAGTCAAAGTTAAGTCTCGTCTAGTCCAATTATTATGCGCATTGTACGTGTAATTGCAGGCTCCAGTCAGATATTGTGCTAGGTTCTGTACACGCATGCATTTCAGTTTCTGATCTAGGGAGTTTGCAGTCAGATTTCTCTGAGAAGGTTGTCTATCCTGAACTTGGTTCCTTCCAACCTTACCGCTTGTTCCTGTTTAAGTTGTTATAAAAATGTACTGAAGTAGGGCAGACCATAATTTCATTCTAGTTGTCACTAGAATTAGTCTATAGAATTCAGTGTTTTTCAGTTAAAGGGAAAGTTCTTTCTTTTTCTTTTAATTCACCTGGTTGAAATTAATATATTTAGTTAAAACATAAATTCCTCTCAATAAGACTATGATCATGTACCAAAGGGTGGAAGAACCAGTGCCTGACATCACTCTGGCAGATAAATCTCTGTGTCTTTGACAGCTTTTGTTACTTGGATTCTTCATTCATCAGGAATCTTGACCTTCAGACTAAACAAACAGAATCGGAAAAGCAGCTAAGAATTTCAGGCTATTACAGAAACGTGCATGGAATAACAGCAGACTATCAGATAAGGTGAAGATGCAAATCTATTAAATTTGCCTGCTGTCATCCCTGCTTTATGGTTTGGAAACATGGACTACATATTCTAGGTACATCAGGAGCCTGAGCAACTGTGCAAGATCCTGAAAATCATGTGGGAAGACAAAATGGCAAACAGGTGATGGACCACGCAGGACTGACACACTTTGAAAACACTGTCCAGAAGAGAAGGTTGTGATGGCTCTGCCGTGTCAGGAGAATGGGAGGAGACCATATTCCCAAGAACATTTTGTACAGTGAGATTTGAGATGGCTCTAGGAAGCAGGGTTGCTCTGTATGGCTGTACGTAACATGTGCAAAAATTATACAAAGTCATTCAACATCAATGTAGAAAGCTGGGAAGAGTGCACAGAATCCCACCCAGTCTGGAGGGAACATCTGTCACTGAGTGCAGCTCATCATGAAGCAGCTTTGATCCAGAGGATGAAAATAATGCAAGAAAGAAGGAAGCTGTAAATTTGGACTCCAAGTTGAACAACACATGGATCTGTAAAACTTGTAACAATCTGCGTCACTCTCAAATTAGGCCTGTCAGCCACAAATGAACTAATCAGGCACCTGACTAGACTTATACCTACACCATGAACCAGAAGATCGACAGTTACCAATATATACACTTTGAAGAGTTTTAAAACAGGTTTCAGGGGGGAAAACCCCCATCTGGACTCCAGTCTAATAGTCCAGCATGTAAACAGTCCTCAGTATGCTTGAGAACTTGGATTATTTTAGTAGACACACAACTTGCTTTTGTTAGTCATAGGATTTTAAAAAATTCTTAGTTCAATAAGGAATAGATCTAATTAAACATGAATTCTAAATATTTTTTTCATCACATTTCAGGAAATAATTCTCCAGTGAATTCTGATCTTTGCCATGTAAATAGGATTGAGTAGGCCTTAATCTTGCATTTCCATCCATGGGAGCAGACTCCTGCATATATATGCAAATTACTGACTTCACTGGAATCTGTGCATGCTCCATCAACACGTGAAGAGATTCAGCATTGAGCAGAACTGCAGGTTTGATGCCTTCAGTTGTAAGATATGCACAGCAGGAAAGATGCTCTTCCACAGGTTGCTTCTGCTGTGCAGCGAGCATGGCTTTTTCATCTGGGCTTCCCCATCCCTGGCCAGCCATCTTTTCCACCCCAGTACTCTTTTCTTTTCTTTTCTTTTCTTTTGATGTATGATCAGTGTATTAGAAATGTATTAAAATATTTATTATCCATTATTTTAAATATATATACACACCTGTGGTACTGTAGAAATTCATTGTAAGCAACTTGATAGTTGGGTTCTCCCCTGAGAAATACCCTTTTGGTAGCAGTGGAGAATTTCACAACTGACAAGAGTAATTCCTACAGTAGTCTCTTATCTTTATTTCTTTTAAGCTAGAAACAGCTACATTGAAGAGTGACTGGCTCTAGAGTGGAGGATGGCAGTAAATGAATGTGTACTACTGAGACCAACCGGCAAAGGGAGTTTTTGCCAAGGGAACTCTGCCAAACCCCTGTTCTATAGAAACATGCCATGGGCTTTTTAATTCTAGCATTGTGTAGATAGCTTTTTTTTTTTTTTTAAGTTCCTTGTAAGATACAGTGCAGCATCCACCATTGCCTTATCGCTTTTTCACATTTTGGGATCAGAATGTGATAAGCTCTGTGTGGTGTTTTCAAATGGAATCTCAGATAGCTAGAAACTGCCTTATGGAAGCAACGCTTCAACCTTGTCCTGAGGTGTTGCAATTTGAACAGTAGCCTCCTGTATTTACTTTGTGAAGCTCTAGTCAGATAAAGAGGATAAGTTGTCCCAACATGTTGCCTGGAACGTGCAGTCGTATGTTTCTCTGATATACAGAATGAATCCGTAGCAATTGATCCGTCTTGCATATCTTGAAGGAAAGGCAATAGCCCTCAATGAAGTTGAGGGTTGATTCCAGTTGACTTTCAATGGGATCTGGAGTTTGCTCCATGTGAAATAATATACATTGTGATGAAAAGAGAAAGTTGAAGAAGTAAGATAATTGATTGTGCTGAGTAAGAAAAACATTTCCCTGCACTTAAAATATCTTCTGGAACTTATGATAAATCCTACAGATAATAATTGATACTTCTTGCATTACCACTCCACGTAGAAGTCCCTGTCCAGGTACTAGAACTCCATTGTGCTTGGTAATATGCAAACATAGAAGAAAAAGGCAGTCCTTTCCCCAAACATGTTATGGTTTAAGTTTAAACGAGAGACAGCAGAGAGGTATTGAATATCTGCTAGGATTTTTTTTTTAGATGGGGGATTGAAAAACAGGGCAGAGTAAATCACCTCCTCAAGGACATATAGGAAACCTGTGGAATTTAACCCCTATTTCTTGACTGCCAGCCCAGTGCTCATTATAAAAGTAGCAAGTATGGTCTAATCCAGAGGTGTTCAACCCCTGGCCTGGGGGCCCAGCCTGGCCCCGGCACCTATGCATCTGGTTTGCTGGACACCCCACAGGTTCATAGGGAGTCCTGCAGGCTGTGGTCCTTCCATTAGATTAGGTTTACAGGGCAGGCTTGAATACAATCCTGGCATGCAGGGCTGAGGGATGACTCCTAGGGCCCAATTCCAACATGTGGGACTGGGCAGAGGTGGTGTGGGACCTCTGGGGCACAATCCTGGTATGCATGACCTGGTGGAGGTGGCACAAGGTGTGATTTGGCCTGAGGATCAGCCCCACGGCCCTCATTTGGCCCATGGGGCCAAAAGGCTGAGCATCACTAGTCTAATCTCATCGTTCAGGAGGAACTCTTTGTATATGAATATCATTTTCACAAAACTAACCTGAATGCTTTAAAGAAATCATTTGGTGTGAAAAGACATTAATTTGATCTTGAGATGGTGAAATAAAGTCCATTCTGTTAAAGGGAGGAAGGCAAAAAGGATGTTTGGGGATTGTGCAGAGCTAAGCAGGGAGTATGGGCACAGGCCACCTTTACACTAGCATAACCAAAGAGTGGCCCTAACGTATGGCTGTATTCTGGTTTAATTTACTAGAGTCTAATGTAAATGCCCTATGGAAAAAAAAATTGGGAGTAAATGTTCAGGTGTAGGTCTGCTTCTGCTTGGGGTAGCCATTTGTTCAATGCAAAGAGGCTATTGCTAACTCTGCTGCCACCTCATAGCAAGCTGCTGTGATGGTGCCTACTGCAGCTGCTACCTGGGGAGAGCTGGTCATACCAAGCTGGTATTGAGGTATAACTGTATTAACACATTGTGTGCAGGCCCAGGATCCCTTTTGCTGTTTATTTTAGTTAACCTTGTACTGTCAAATGAAATCTGCTATTTTAAAATCTTTTGCCTCACGAGCCAGGACGTTCCACTTTTATTTTGTTTCCAAGCGTTTGGTGTTCTGGGTCTTTCTTCTAGGATATAAACATCCTCGGCCTGGCAGGCCCTTGTAAATACCAGCCAGGGAATATGCACATGCACAAAACTAGTCTTACGTAAGCAATCTAGGCACGAGTGACTGCTACCTGCAGGGCTTCTTCAGGAAGACAAGAGGAGCTGTTCCTAGGAAAAGAGCAGTGAATCTAGAGCAACTTCGGACAGAGCTTTTCCACTTTTATTCCTGCTCTCAAGATCCTGTGTATCAAGGGGGAAACCAATAATGGCTGCTTCCATTTGGAAAGCTTTTAGACCAGGCTTTCTCTCTCTCTCCCCTGGCCCAAATGAGGAATGCAATTAGACATGACACTATTGAAGAGCATAGACAAAACCCTCATGTGAGAAACTTAAAATGCTGTTGGCTTTATGCTTGTGATTTAATCAACTGAAGCAAATTTGTTTAACTGTAAAGGTAAGATGGCAGGTATTGAACTTTGGCATTGAATTGAATCATGGGCTGGGATGGCATTTCAGAGGTCTAGATATCCTTGAGGCATCCACCTGCCCTCTCTGAGGTGATCTCAAGTTTACATCGGCTACCATAGACCAGGGGTTGTCAACTGGGGGTACTCATACTCCAGAGGGTACTTGGGAAGGCCCTAGAGGGTATGCATGGACAGACAGGGATGGAGTGCTGCCACCCACCACCCCATGCCACCGTCTCCCAGGAGCAGGACAAGGGCAGGGCGAGGGCAGTGGTGCCCCTCTGCAGACCGCACAAGCTGATCAGACGTGGGGTGGGGGGAGCTTGCACATGGCCACTACCGCTGCCATCCACCACCCTGTGCCACCGCTCTGCATCTGGCTCCCCCCCCCCCCCCCCCCATGCTCTGTGTCTGTCACCTCCTCCCTCCTCCCCCCCACTCCGCGTTGGGCCATGTGTCACCCCCAACTCTGTGTCTGGGTGCCAGGGCTACACTTATTAGAAAAGATTGAAAATCCCTGCCATAGACAGTTGGTTGTATAACCTGTTCTTAAAAATCTCCAGATGAGGATTACTCAGTGCCCTTTGGTCCCCTTTTCAGTGCTTAACAATCGTTATGTGCATTTTATAACCCACAGTTCTCATGTTGAATATTTGATCACTTACCTACTGTCCTGTTCACAGTGGATGTAGAGAAAAATTGATCACCATTTTCTTTAGGGCAGCCTTTTATATCCTTGAAAACTGTAGCCATGTTTCTTCCCTGTCTTGTTTATAAGCTAAACCCATTTTTCAACTTTTTATTGTACTTTTTTCCCTTCTTCTCAACTCCTGACATGCATTAAAACAGAATAAAAAGATATTAAACATTTCCTAAAATTAGTTTTTCATATTAATAATTGATGTAATTAGCATAAAGTAACAAGTGGCAGAAAGAAGTTGTTTAAGTTAATGTATTAAATTTTGAGTCAACCTTTCAGAAAAGTTGTTTGGTGCCTGCCAATTTTGGCTACCTCTGATTAAAACAAATGTTTAGTTAACACTGCTGTTCAATTCTGTATATATGAGGTGTGTCTTCTGAGCAACATGCTAACCAGTGCCGAAAGCAGCTATACTGTTCAAACAGTTTACATGAATCCTAGATTAATTTTTTTTAGAGTAGTAGTAGTAGTAGTTGAAAGTTGGATCATGTATCATTCATAGGTTAATTGTCCATGTATGTGCAACAAGGTTTTCAGTGACCCATCAGGCATTTGTGACCTCCATACAGGAAAAGCTGCAGGAGGCTATATTCTTTGATGATTAGTATGGTTAGGGTTAAGTTAGGAGCTGTGGCATTTATTCTCATTCTAATACACTGTCATCTTGAACAGTTATTATTTTTCTCTGTGTCTTAGCATTTTCCATCTATAAAATGAGGCTTGAAACCTACCTTTCCAAAATACTTCTTGGCCTTTTCATGAAAGTACAAGTGAGTTCATTTTAAAGGATGAAAGCTCTGCTCTGGCTCCTCGGTAACATACAGACTTACTAACATTTTATCAATTTTAAGGGTTGAACTTAAATTTTTAACATGTAATTTATATTCAAGACTACTGTCTCTTAGACATAGTAATTTCATTAGTTCATATGCATGCATTTTTTCTCTCTCATAACTTTTAAAACAGGTATGTTTCTTTGAAAATCTCAATGTTTTTGCAAGTAATTTCTCTCATTTCATATTCACTGTTGATTGGATCTTTAGTCCAGATTCTTCAAGCTGGAAAACATAATTACTATAAAGTGAAGATGCACAGAGTGACCTAATAATAAATGTCAGCAAAAAACAAATTATAGGCATTTAATTCAATCAGAGACTTATTTTAGTTTCCAAAGCTCTTCAGGATGATGGGAACAAAATGCTTCCATCTGGAACGGAGAGGTTTTTTCCCCAAATATATTTAATACAAAACATTGCAGGACAGTCTGCTGCTAGGCAAGTTCATTCTGTTCAGACACAATCCTGCAAAACTACTTGGGCACAGTTCCACTGACTTGGGACCTCATGCTCACGCTGATGAAATTAATCTCTCTGCAAAGGACCAACACATGGATAATCCTCCAGTTGTCTTTCAGGCTTGAATGGAGCATTTCATTGGCTGTGTGCTCATTGCAGCAAAGAAGGTTACATTTTCTCCTGTCAGTCATTAGGAGTGTTAACTAAGTAAACTTGGTGGATTTGAATCAAAAGTAGTTCTCAAGAAGCAGTCTTATTATGAATAGATGCCATTCTGGACCCTCCTTATCATTTTTCCCCTTTTTCTCACTTTTTAAAGCATCTTACTATCTCCCTTTTTTCCCTGGTGTATGGAGAGTTACTCTTGTGCTCTCTTGAAGGCACAAGTCTGCAAAATGACACTGAAATCTTTCATATGTTTCACTTGTGCAGCTTGCTGAATGAACAGAGCACAGTGAAGTAGCGGGAAAGAAAAATAATGTTGGTGCTCTTTGCATCCAGACAGTTACATTGGTCTGCTGAGTTTAGCATCCTAAACATACAAACATACAAATCTTTTATTAAGTAGAGTAGCTGAAGAGGCATGATATTAGAGACTATGGCCAGTACACATGTTAATCTGCTCTTTAATGAAACTGTAGGAGTTATGATTGAAATAAACCTAGTAGTGATGATATTTATGTGCATTTGTGTGCATTTTCCCAGACACTATCAAGGTTCTTTACAACAGAGTAGACAAATATAAAGTGCTGAAGTACTAGATTGTTATTGGACGCAGTGACTAAGTAGTTAAGTTTGAACTGTAATGAATTGAAATCTAAGTATATAACATATGTAACAGTCACCATAATTATTTATTTCCTGAATGTCATTAGTATGCTGAGCCCTGTACAAATATGAAGCGCACAGTCCCTGGCCCAAGCAGCTTACAATGTACTTTGGATATGGACAAAACAGTTCAGACAGTATAATATACGAGGTGATGGAAGAGGGTTGAGGTGATAATGGTCTGTTGGAGCCTTGGTGAAAATAATTTTCTTTCCTTTAATTTTCGGTGCTCTGATCTGTCTCTTTTAGGTCCAATTTTAAGCTTTTGGCTGTAAATGGGAAGCTCTATGCTGTTGGTGGTCAATCCCTTTCCAATGTGGAATGTTACAACCCAGAGCATGACTGGTGGAATTTCGTGGCCTCTATGCCAAACCCTCTTGCAGAATTCTCAGCTTGTGAATGCAAAGGCAAGATCTACATCATTGGAGGATACACTTCACGAGGTAGGACATACTGTTTTTAAAACCACAATCAGTTTCTTCACTAATAAATAGGGACCTATGGAATCTCAATTCCGTGATTTTTGTGGAAACTGCAATTTCAGGCAGTCCCCATGATAAAGCACAGGATCCATGCTTTTAGTAGGCTCCCTGAAAAAAAAAAAAACCACTCACTGAAAATAAAATGCTGCTTCCCTCAGGAGCCAACCGTCCTTACGGCTGCTGTGGCCAGGCCACACAGCCTGTCAGGGGGAAAGGAGGGAGAGGGGCTGCCAGCATAACAAGATTTCTGCTGCCCCTGCCCCTCACTGCTGATTGGCTGTGAGGGCTGTCTGTCATATGGCCCCGCCCCCTGCTATATATCGGCGTAAGAGTGGGGCCACATGACTGGCAGCCCTCCTGACCAATCAGCAGCCGGGGCAGAGCTATGTGATGGACAGCCTTCATAGCCAATCTGCAGTGAAGGGCAGGGCCACTGGGCCCCCTTGGCCAATTGGGGGGGGGCGGGGGGGAGGCACTATACTCCACCCTTGAAAATGGTTGCCTGGCCTGCAGTCTGCCTGTGAAATCGGCAGGTGGCCCCCTTGACTTAGACCCCTACTAATAAAGTTTCATTCTTCCTCCAAGTCAAGTGGAAAGCTTTGTAAGAAAACATTAAAAATAACTGAAGGCAAATCACTTGGGTAGCAAAAAATTGACATCCAGAATTTAAAATCAGTTTTCTGACTTTTAAAGATCAGTCACTTTTAAAGAGTCCAGCTTTGGGTATCACAATTATGCTTGTCAAACTGAACTTTTTAAAACAAAATATTCCTATATTGCTGTACCAACACTTGAATTTAGGGTTTGTTTGTTTTTCTGTAATTACTGATGTCCCCATATCTTTATTTACAACCAAGAGTATAATCCAGTAATTCTCCTTTTTAGATGCTGGTAGTTGCAGGAGAAACACAGGTCTCAGATAAAAACATTGGTTTCCTTTTTTTAATGTATTCTCTTGGTGATTGAAGATTGCAGATAGTTACTGATTTATAATTTAAGTACATTTTGATTCATCTTTTAACTGTAACAAGCCAGCATTTCCTCTGTTGTTTCAAGGAAATAAAAACAATTCTCTGTGATACAGTTCTAAAAACTCAGTTTTTGCCATCTCTGCCCCAGCTGCCCAGTGTTGGATTGCCATCCTGTGTCTTGTAATGTCATATGCAGTGCTGCTGATGTCAGCACTTGGGATCTATGGGTGAGGGACAGATGCATTTACTACCTACTCTATTGGAGCTGTGCTGGAAAACATGAACATTCAGCATTTCTCATTGTCTGCATAAGGGTTTTCAGTTGTGCCTTTCGCTGTAGTGTTCCAGTACTTCACAAGTAAATTAAATCTATTTAGAAAGGCCTCTGATGGATTTAATGGTATTTTTTTCACTCTTTCTCCTGCTCCCTGCAACAAAGAGGTTGCTTATCTCAGAGGAATGTGGGTGGGTATTTTTATCACATGACAATAGGGTAGATTGGCATCTTACAGAGTAACTAAATCAGAGATGTATACTATAAGCTTTTGTGAGCCCAAGCTCACTTCATCAGGTGCTGTGAAAGGGCATGCCCAGAGCAGTGTATAAAAAGAAGAGCGATTTGAATTTAAAGACAGGAATGGTGGTGGTGGCGGGGGGAGGAGATGGCAGTGTGGGCAAAGGCAAACAAGGAAGCAATAAACTTTCACCTCTCTTTTTATGTCATTCCATTTATGATGTAAATATTTGTCTAAGAAAAGAGTCTTGTGTCATCTAAGGAAAGGCTGTGGAAGTGCATTCTGTAGTCTCAAATGAGTGACCAGGGACAACTCTGGCTCTAATATGCATTGTGTTAGGTTTTCTAGCTGTGCTATTATTCCAAATGAGAGCAGCTGTCTTAATAGGGCATGGATGAAGATGCAGTCACTGATGCCAAATCTATTGATGGCCTGGTTGATCTGTGGAATAACCTACTGACCTTGGATAGTGGCACCCAAGTCTCCCACCACTGTGGTGGCACAGACCCCCTTGGTACACAGGGTAATGGAGTCAGCTTCAGATGGAGGGTAAGCAGCTGGAGTGTAGGTGGCTCTCCATCTATGCTGAAGCTGACCAATTAAAGCATAGATCTCTCGTAAAGGACTGTGGTACGGCAGTAGCAGCAGCAAAGAAGCCATTTTTCTCCACTGTCATTTCATTTGTACAGTGTCATCCAGCAGAACTGTTCCAAGTGGTGAACGGACTGGTTAATCCAGTTTGTTTCTGCCCAGAAATTGAGTCCAGTTCAGTACTCTGTGAGGAATTTGCCACCTATTTTTTAGACAGAATCATAGACTCATAGAAAGGGAGGAATAGAAGGGACCTCTGGAGGTCATCTAGTCCAACCCCCTGCCAGAGGCCAGATCATCCTTATCCAAACCATCCTAAGCAAATGCTTGTCTAATCTACTACTAAAACCACACCTATGTTCCTGTGAGACAACCACAAAACATAGCACCATAACCTGCCACAGGTAAAGCAGGAGGACACCTGTGGCTGACATCTTGCTGCTATGACAGTTCTTAAAATCTGCTTGAGAGATCTGAGGAAGAGGGCCATGGCCCCCACTATAGAGAAAGGCAAAACCCCCACAGTCCATGCCATTCTGACCATGGTAAAATTCCTTTTTGGTACTAAATATGGAAATTGGTCAGACTCTGAACAGATGGGCAAGACTCTCTAATCAGGAACCTCCAGGTTTTGGTCTCAGCAAGAGCATTGGCACACCCCAGTCAAAATCCCCAGCATTGGCTGTGGCCAACACCCACTGCTTTTGAAGAATTCCAGAAAAAATCTGACATGAGGTAAAAAAAAAAAAGTCTGACATAGCAACAGGAGGGAAAAATATTCCTTCTGAGCAATTGGCGCACACAGAGCATAGGCACAACTACTCCTAGATCATCTCCGAGCAGTGTTTATCCAATCTCTTTTTGAACACTCCAGTGATGCAAAATCCACATCTTCCCTAGGCAGTCTGTTCCACTGCCTCACTGTTCTAACAATGAAGACGTTCTTTCTGATATCCAGTCTTAATCTCCTTTGCTGGAACTTCAAACCATTGGTCTGTATCCTGCTTTCTACATCTAGAGAGGAAAGGCAGCCCTTCGTGGTAGTCCTTCACATATTTGAAGACTGCTATCATATCCTCTCTTAAGCAAGTGTGAGTTGAAGATGCCTGTTTCCTTTAACCTCTCATATGGTTTACCTTCTAAGCCCTTGATCATTCTTGTTGCCTGCCTTTGTACCCTCTCTCTCTTCTCCGTGTTCTTTTTAAAATGTGGAGTCCCAGACTGTACACAGTACTGTGAACGAGTCATAACCAGTGCCAAGTAAGAAGGCACTATCACCTTCAGTGTTTTACACCTAATGCTTCTATTGATGGAGCCCAAGACCTCTTTCACCTTTTGTGTGGTTGCATCACACTGCAGGCTCATATTGAGTCGGTGATGCACCAAGACTCCCAGATCCTTCTCTGTAGCGCTGCCATCCAGCCTATTAACACCCACTTTATATTTGTGTTTTTGATGATTCTTCCTGAGGTGTAGTGCTTTGTATTTGTATTGAACTTCAGCCTGTTAATTCCAGCACAGCTTTTCATTCTGTCAGGATCCTTCTGAATTGTGCTGCTGTCTTTCAACAGGTTTGCAGTCCTTCCCAGTTTCATGTCAGTTGCAGATTTTCTCAAGAAGCTTTTAATTCCAGAATCCAAATCATTAATTAACTTTTGCTGAACAGCACTGGGCCTAGAACAAACCCTTATAGGACTCCACTCTAAACCTTCTGCTATTCTGACATGGATCCATTTATAATTACCCTTTGTTTGTGGCTATTGAGACAGTTTTCTTATCATCTTGTAGTTTTGTTTAGCCCACATTTATCCAAGTTTTTAATGAGAAGGTCCTGCAAGACTTTGTCAAAAGCCTTTCTGAAGTCCAGATACATTGTATGCATGGCGTTCCCTTCAACCATCCAACTAGCTATTGAAGAAGGAGGTAGTTCATAGTTAGTCCATGCTGCCTGTTCATGGTCAGCCTTTGCTTCCCCAGATTCATGCAAATGAACTTCCTTATAATATACTTCATTAACTTCCCAGGTATTGAGATGAGGCTAACTGGTCAGTAGTTCCCCAGGTCTTCCTCTTTGCCTTTTATGAAGAGGAGCACTACATTGGCTCTATTTCCAGTCCTTTCGTACCTTGCCAATCTCCCCTGACTTCATAAATATTATTGCCAAGGCTATGAGATCTTCTTTGCCAGTTTTTTATTGTACCCTGGGATAAAGATGATCAGGCCCTGCTGACTTGATTCATTCAGACCCATCAAAAGCTCTTTGACTGGTCCTTTTTATATCTGCCTGTATCGGGCATGGCTTGGGAACCACCAGTTTTGCTGCAGAGTCAGAATCTGAGGTTGAGGAAGCTCAGTCTTGTCCTGTTTATATGGATTGTTTTAAATTGCTATCACCCACCACTGTGGAGGATATGCTTAGAGGGTTGAGCACAACCACTTGTGAACTAGACCAGTGCCTGTCCTTACTTGTAAACACCAGCTGGGGGATACTCGGGCCATTACTGTCAGGGGTTGTCACTGCCCTTTGGGAGGCCAGTGTACCAGATGAACTCAATTGATTGGCCCTTTTTCAAGAAGTAATCGCTTGATGTTGATCCCCCATCCAATTATCTCTTTGTATCCAACCTGCCCTTTTTGCGGAAGATCATTTAACAGGTAGTCACTCAACAGCTCCAGATGCATCTGGTTTTCTGCACCTCTGTCAGTCTGGCTTTCATCCTGGATATAGCACAGAGACTGCATTTGTGGCTTTGGTTGATGATCGTTGCCTAGAAATCAACAAGAAAAATTGTGTCCTGCTGATCTTACTTGATCTTTCAGTGGTCTTTCATATAGTTGCCCACAAGGTGCTAATAAATATTTACATGATCTGGTGAAGATTCAT